GAGTCGTTCGGGCTTCTCGTGGTGTGAGTTGTTCGGGCCCCTCATCCTGGTGTGAGTCGTTCGGGCCCCTCCTCCTGGTGTGACTCGTTCGGGCTCCTCGTGGTGTGAGTCGTTCGGGGCCCGCGTCGTGGTGTGAGTCGTTCGGGCTCCTCGTGGTGTGAGTCGTTCGGGCGCCTCGTCCTGATGTGAGTCGTTCGGGCCCCTCCTTGTGGTGTGAGTCGTTCGGGCTCTTCGTGGTGTGAGTCGTTCGGGCCCCTCGTCCTGGTGTGAGTCGTTCGGGCTCCTCGTGGGGTTGGGGCCCTCTTGGAGCCTCTTGGGGCCTCTTGGGGGCTTCTTGGGGGCCTCTTGGGGGCCTCTTGGGGGCCTCTTGGGGCATCTTGGGGCCTCTTGGGGGCATCTTGGGGGCCTCTTGGGGGCCTCTTGGGGCGTCTTTGGGGCCTCTTGGGGGCCTCTTGGAGGCCTCTTGGGAGGCTCCGGGGGGCCTCTGGGGGCCATCTTGGGGCCTCTTGCGACCTCCTCAGAAGCGCAAAGGAGCGCTGCCCCCTGAGAAGGACAAAATGAGCCCAAAACCTTGCTAAAATCAATGATTCTGCGATGGAGGAAGATGAGCGCGGCCCCCGCAGGAGGCCAAAATGGGGGCAAAACCGTAGTAAAATCAATGATTCTGGCTTCAAAGAAGAGGAGAGGGGCCAAACTCCCTCCCCCCCTCGGGGCCAGAATCCTCGTGAGGGTCGTCGTTTTTTAGCCCTCCCAGGAGTCGAAAAAGACCCCCCTGGCGACGCCCCGGGGTCCCTCTCCAGGCCCAGGGGGAGGGGGTAGGGGGAGGGGTAAACCCCTCCCCGAAGGGGAAGAAGGGGGGTTGAGGACAGAGCGGGCTCTCTAGACCACTCACGCCCAAAGGGCTCGTTCGGTCCCCTCCTCCTGGTGGGACTCGTTCGGGCTCCTCGTGGTGTGAGTCGTTCGGGGCCCGCGTCGTGGTGTGAGTCGTTCGGGCTCCTCGTGGTGTGAGTCGTTCCCTTCCTTGTGGTGTGAGTCGTTCGAGCTCCTCGTGGTGTGAGTCGTTGGGGTCTCTCGTCCTGGTGTGAGTCGTTCGAGCTCCTCGTGGGGCCTGTTGGGGGCCTCTTGGAGCCTCTTGGGGCGTCTTGGGTGCCTCTTGGGGGCCTCTTGGGGGCGTCTTGGGGACCTCTTGGAGCCTCTTGGTGCCTCTGGGGGGCCTCTTGGGAGCCTCTTGGGGACCTCTTGGGGCCTCTTGGGGGCCTCCTGGAGGCCTCTTGGGAGCCTCCTGGGGGCCTCTTGGGTCCATCTTGGAGCCTCTTGCGACCTCCTCAGAAGCGCAAATGAGCGCTGCCCCCTGATTTGACCAAACTGAGCCAAAAACCTTGCTAAAGTCAATGACTTTGCTATGAAGGAAGGGGAACGCGGCCCCCTCAGAAGGCCAAAATGGGGCCACAACCGTAGTAAAATCAATGATTGTTGCTTCAAAGGCGAGCTGAGGCACCAAACTCTCCCCCCCCCTCGGGGCCAGAATCCTCGTGACGGTCGTCGTTTTTTGGCCCTCCCAGGCGTCGAAAAAGACCCCCCTGACGACGCTCGGAACTCCCTCTCCAGGTCCAGGGGGAGGGGGTAGGGGGAGGGGTAAACCCCTCCCCGAAGGGGAAGAAGGGGGGTTGAGGACAGAGAGAGCTCCCTAAACCACTCACGCCCAAAGGGCTGGTGGGATTTTACTACTACTCTTACTACTACGACTACTACTACTACTACTACTACTACTACTACTACTACTACTACTACTTCTACTTCTACTTCTACTTCTACTACTACTACTACTACTACTACTACTACTACTACTACTACTACTTACTTTACTAACTACGACTACACTACGACTACTACTACGACGACTACTACTACTACTACTACTACTACTACTAACTACTAACTACTACTACTACTGACTACTACTACTACTACTACTACTACTACTACTACTACTACTACTACCTACTACTACCTACTACTACTACTACTACTACTACTACTACTACTACTAACTACTACTACTACTACTACGACACTACTACTACTACTACTACTACTACTACTACTACTACTACTACTACTACTACTACTACTACTACTACTAACTAACTACGAGCGACACTACTACGACTACTACTACTACTACGACCAACTACTACTACTACTACTACGACTACGACTACTACTACTACTGACTACTACTACTACTACTACTACTACTACTACTACTACTACTACTACTACTACTCCTACTACTACTGCTACGACTACTACTACTACTACTAACTACTACTACTACTACTACGACTACTACTACGACTACTACGACTACTACTACTACTACTACTACTACACTACTACTACTACGACACTACTACTACTACTACTACTACTACCTACTACTACTACTACTACTACTACTACTACTACTAACTACTACTACTACTACTACTACTACTACTACTACTACTACTACTACTACTACTACTACTACTACTACTACTACTACTACTACTACTACTACTACTACTACTACTACTACTACTACTACGACTACTACTACTACTACTACTACTACTACTACTACTACTACTACTACTACTACTACTACTACTACTACTACTACTACTACTACGACTACTACTATTACTACTACTACTACTACTACTACTACTACTACTACTACTACTACTACTACTACTACTACTACTACTTTTCCTCCTCCTCCTCTTCTCCTCCTCCTCCTCCTCCTACTCCTCTTCCTCCTCCTATAGGTCGCCCCAGTGTGACCTGCTGACTGCGCCCGTCCCGCTCGTGGTGCTCACGGCCCCCAGCTTACAAGGGCAGTTTTCATTGGAAGCGAGTTCAATGGTCCGGCTCGTAGCCCATATTAGCCAGCGTTCATGCGCACGCACCATTTGGTGTACAGTCAACGCGCATAATAAGGATGGGCAACCTTCCCAAGAGTACCCTTGCACCCTTGCCCCTTCGGCCCATCCTTGCCAACCTCCTTCGAAAAGTGTTCACATGGGCATCCCAGGCCCTTGCATCCTTACCGCGCATCCTCATGATACGGCTTGACTGTATGGTTGGCCAGTCAGTCAGCCAGCGAAGCCGAAAACGCAACGCATCACGACTGTTACCGACTGTGAGGCAGAAGAGCGAAGCGTCCAACTCTGCCATAAAGCAGAATCGAGAACATAGCACCCAGGCTGTCCGAGGGCGCTTCTGCAGCCATGCCGGTGCCAGGGAGAGTTCGACACGGGCAGGCCTCAGAGCGTGCAGAGCGCACGGCGAACCCCTGCGCACAGAGAGGGAGCACGACCAGGCGTGAGCGAGGCGCCAGTCCCGCTGGGACCCCTTCCCCCCCCGTTGCGGTGGGGGCACGGGGGCGGCTCTGACGGCGGGCTTGAGCCCGGAGCGGGGGAGGCCCACAGTGGAGGCACCCTGCTTGCCTCCAGGGCGCCCTGGGCTTCTGGGGTTGTTCGATGGTTTTGCGACGGAGGGCGTGGCGCTCCCGCACCAAAGAAAGAATCGATGGGCGTCCTGGGGCCTCGGGGTTAGGTTTCCGGTGGAGGGATCTTCCTGTGGAGCGGCCCCCACTGTAATGGAGGATGACGATTGATAAATGACCGGGGGTCGTGTTCACGCGGCGGCGCCCAGGATGACGATTAGAAAAAACCGGCCGCGGGCTGGAAAACTATTTTTTTATCGTTCTCCTCCAGTCAGAAAATGATGCAGAAATAGCAGGAAACTATGTCTTAATCGTGCTCTCCCATTTTTTTATTATTAATCGTCATCCCGCATTAGGTCGAGGCCCAGGTCGCCCCGAGAGAGGGGGGCGCCCTGGGGCCTCGGGGTTAGGTGTCCGGTGGAGGGATTTTCTTGTGGAGTGGCCCCCACTGCTGGCATCGCTCGGACGTGTGCATTTTTCCTTCGGCGAGGACCATCGAGGAGCATCCGTGATCATTTGGCGAAAAAACCACGCACGAAACCTAGAAAAACACAGGAAATGGACGTCCGAGCGATGGCCAGGGTCGAGGCCCAGGTCGCCCCGAGAGAGGGGGGGCGCGAGGACGGCCGCGCGCCACGCGCCCCGCGCCAGAGGTCGGAGCGGCTCAGCGCGGCCGCCCCTCTGCGGGGGGGGGAAGGGACAGCGCGAGGGCGCAGATGCGCGACGGCCACCGCCCCTCGTCGTTCTGCTTCTCCCCCTCCTCCTCGTTCGTCTCCTCCTCCTCCTCCTTCGCCTCTTCGTTCTCCTCCTCCTCCTCCCTCCTCCCTCCTCCATCCGCTTCTTCTCCTTTTTCTCCTCCTCTTCTTCTCTTCCTCCTTCTCATCCTCCGCCTCCTCCTCCTCCTCCTCCTCCTCCTCCTCCTCCTCCTCCTCCTCCTCCTCCACATCATCATCATCATCATCATCATCATCATCATCATCATCATCATCATCATCATCATCATCATCATCATCATCATCATCATCATCATCATCATCATCATCGTCCCCCTTCTCCCCCTTCACCCTTCCCCTCCTGCTCGCATCGCGGGGCGCGATGCGCGCAGTGGGTCAGTATCGTTTAACCTCAAGTCGGGCCTGTCCCTCTACAGGAGGAATCGTCAAAAATAGAAAAAATAGTCTTTGGACGATGGTTTGACACTTTTTTGCAAGTTTGGGATATGTTGGGGGTAGTTTTTTTTACATTTGTCGTCGAAGATCCCCCTGTAGGGGGACACGCCCGACTTAAGTTTGCCGGATCCCTATCTCCATACCCATCCCCATCCTGAGCCCCACCATCCGACCACCCCAGTTGGGGATGTACCCCTCGAAGCCCAAAGGAATCAGCCGATGCCCCCATCTAGTGGGGCAAATCGGCCAGCGGGACCCAGGCAGCGCCGGTGGGGATAGGGATCGGTTCAACGATGCTCAGTGGGGTGGCCTCAGGGGGACGTGCGGGGCTGCCCGAGGAAGCTGTTGTCCGAGGCCTCCCTGATCCGCGCCCTCGAGGGACTGCAGAAGACCACCGTGGGGCACATCACCATGGTGGAGGAGCTCACCAGCGCCGCCCGGGGCGACGGGGCCAACGAGGAGCTCCTCGCCAAGGCCCCCGGGGCGCCGCAAGCGGAGACGAGCGGCGGCTGGTGCGGCGGCGCACGCAGCCAAGACGCTGAAATAAAGGAACGGTTCGGGTCTGGGAGGGGTCTCGCTGTTCCCCGGGAGGAGGGAGGAGGGGGGAGGCAGGAGGGAGGAGGAAGAGGAGGAGGAGGAGGAGGAGGAGGAGGAGGAGGAGGAGGAGGAGGAGGAGGAGGAGGGAGGAGGAGGAGGAGGAGGAGGACTCCTTCCACGGCTGTTCCTCAAGCATTGCTCGTGCATTCTGGCGCCCCGACGGCCAGACGGGCGCGTCGCTCCTTGCCTTGCGGCCGCCCACCACGCGCCGGCGCGACACGCGCAGCACGTCCCAGTCTTAGGTCGGGAAAAACTTGACAAGAAAAATCAAAATAGTCAAAGAATCGTCCCCATACATTTTTGACTATTTTTGAATACTCCTCCTGTAGAGGGCCAAGCCCGATTTAATCCCAGTCCTCGAGGGTCAACGTCCCCAGCGTTTCCCGGCATCCCGTCCCAAGAAGCGCAACGACGCGCCAGCAGTTTGCAAGGCTTGAGTCGGACATGTCCCTCAAAAAATAGTCAGGGGACGATGTTTTCGTACTTTTGATTATTGCTGGGGTATTGCGTGACTATATATTTATTTGTTCTTCCAAAATCCGCCTGTAGGGGGACATGCCCGACCTAATGCAAAGCGTGGCGTGTCGCAGGGGTTGCTGCCGCGGCACGCTAGACAGAAGTTCCCCATCGCAGCGGCCTCCCAGGGGGCCAGCAGTTCTGATCTGCAGCAGCCAGAGGGATTCTGATCCTGCCGCTCGGACGAGGTGTTGCGTTTGGGGCCATAGGCTAGCTTTTTTCGGCTCGAGGACACTTCTACGTCAGTTTCGCACCACAAGCGCTTCTCTCGGCGCGGTTGAAAGTCAGGTGTTCATAGCGCGGCCAGCTACGCAATTATGCAGCATGAGTGTGGAGACCTGCTTCTCTGTGAGCTGTGTCGATCGACAGCAGGGCAGTAGAATCACGGCCAGACCAGGCACCCTTATCAAAGCAAACTCTCTGGTCGAGGATATTAATTGTCTCCCTGGCGCTGGACTGCATCCACTTGTGCTGCCGCACTCATCCGCCACAGCGCCTGGGAAGTGGGGGCCCAAGCGAGAAGGTAGCATGCAAGTCTCTCAGCCAACGATTGGTCGGGGGTATGGTCTCGACACGCATGTTGACCAATAGTTGGGCTCGTCTTCGGGACCGTCTTGGTCCCCTCTGGGGCTCCCCTGGGCACTCGAAGGGCATGCTGGGCCCTCTTGGCGTCCCTTCTGAAGAAATTGGTCTGGAGGCTGCCTTGAAGGTTCTTGAGGCATCTATAGGGGTGTTGGGGCCATGTTTGCGCGGTCTTGGGCCTCATGAGAAGCGTTTTGTGGTTGTGGTGGAGGCCAGTTGGGGAGTTATGGGAGCATCTCGGTGTCTCTTGAGTCGTCCTCCGAGGCTGTGTAAATACATGTGGGATGTCCTTATGTATATACTCGCGGGTTTACATGCATAGATGAATACGTATGTGTTTAAATCTATGCATATGGATATGCATTTTATACACACGTACGTGCTCGGAGAAGCCAGCACCAATGATGTTTGACATTTTGCCACTGGGGGGGGGCTCTTTGCAGAGCCATCTTGGAGCCGCGTGTGGCCGCGTTGAGCATCCAGGGTCATCCTAATTAGGGCTTCTTCGAGGCTTCCCGAGGACATCCTAGAACCACACATGATCTTGGGTCGAGGGTTCACGACCCCTCTCCTCTCCCCCGGACGGGATGCGTCCCAGGGTTCCGCAGGTCCCCCCCCCGTAAGCTGGGCTGGGGGGGAACGCCGACGCCGACGCCGACAAAGACGCCAACGGACGACTGACGACGACGACGACGACGACGACGACGACGACGACGACGACGACGACGACGAACCACCCCACACCCAAAGGCGGAGGGATGGGGGGGGTGCACGGGCAACCTCCACCACGTCACGCCCACAGGGACACGACCGCAGGGCGGGGGGGAGCGATCCCAGTCGCGGGGCCTTCGCGAGGCTCGTTGGCGTACCCATCCAGCGGGGGGGAGGCTGGATCCCATCTGCATTGGGGGGAGGGGGGGCGGGGGGGGGGGCAGCCTTGGATCACATATGGCTATCCCGAGGTATTGGGCCAGACTACGCTAGTTGTAGCAGAGCGATCTTGCAATGGGAAGGTCCATGGGAGCGCGAGGTAGCTGCCGTGCCAGGCAGAGGCCCCCGCTTCCCAGTGGATGCAAGCTGTGTTAGATTGCGCCATCGAGGGGGGGGGGGGGCGGGGCCAGGGCCCAGTGTGCACCCCGATCAGGGTCTGGAGGTGAGGGGACTACAGTCGGGGCCCTGAAGAAGAAACCCTTTTCGTTGGGGAGGGGCTCCGCGTTCCTTAAGTGCTTCACAGCTTGCCTCAGGCTGTCCTTATGTTCTCGATCGGAAACCGAAGTTTAACGCATGGAAAAAGGGGCCTCGTTCCTTATTTAGGGTTCCTTAGGTCAACGCCCCGACTGTATGCGGGCTGCGTGTGCCGTGGGGCCGTCGGCCCTCGCGGACCTCGGCAGCACTCCTCCGAGCACCGCCTGGCATGCCGGCGCGCACGCCTCGTCGCGGGCCGATGTGCTCCGCACCCGCCGCCGCCAGTCTCGGCCAGATGATGTTGCGAGGTAGACCTCTCGAGGGAGGGCAGGCGAAGGAGGAGGAGGAGGACAAGGAGGAGGAGGAGGAGGAGGAGGAGGAGGAGGAGGAGGAGGAGGAGTGGGGGAGGGGAGCAAGGGGAGGAACGCGAGGAGCAGGAGGAGGCATGAGGAGGAAGAGGAAGAGGAGGGAAGAGCGGAGGAGAGAGGGAGGGGGAAAAGGGACGAGGGGGAGGAAGAGGAGGTTACCAGCACTGCCACGAGGCGACGAGGCTCATCGCGAAGCTGAAGAGCGAGCGCGAGGCGCACGGGCTTCTCGCAGAGCAGGGTCCCTCCCAGGATCCTCGGAGTTGGAGGAGGAGGAGGAGGACGACGACGACGACGACGGCGAGGGGTACTCCCCCCCCCTACTCTCCCGCCCCCCTTTCAACACACAGTACCAACACACACACACACACGGCCACACACGGCCACACACAGACACACAGACACGGACACACACACACACACACAAGCACACACACAAACACAAACACAAACACAAACACAAACACAAACACACATGTTCCGAGGTCCGCACGGCCTTCGTGGGTCGCCAGCGCTGGCGGCGCCGCAAGCGCCGCCCGCGCCAGGGGCGCGCTGGGGGAAGGGGGCCCAGCGCCGACCCCAAAAGATCCACGCGGGCCTCGAAAGCTTTTATGCTCATGCCGTCCTGTGTTTTTCAGCTGTTGCCGGATTCCCCCTCTGACTCTTCCTGTTCTTCCCTCGGGAGTTCGAAGGCGAGCTTGGGAAGTGAGAGGGAGACGGAGCTCCTCCTCTCCATTCCAGGACGTGAGGGTCGTGAAGCTCTCCTCCTCCTCTTATTCCTCCTCCTCCTCCTCCTCCTCCTCCTCCTCCTCCACCTCCTCCAGTGGGTCGCAGTGAGGGATATCTGGGAGTGGAGCTCAGAGGTGGGAGGGGAGAGGGGAGAGAGGCAAGCTGGGTGAGGCCGCGCCACCTCTGACGTCCTACCCCTCCTACAGTCGGGGCGCTCAAGAAGGAGCCCTTCTCGTTGGGGAGGGGCTCGGCGTCCCTTGACTGTTTTACAGCTTGCCTTGGATGTTCCGTGGGGGTTACATGGGAATTCAAAGGTTATCGCATAGGAAAAAGGGGCCTCGTTCCTTATGTAGGGTTCCTTGGGTCAACGCCCCGACTGTACCCATTCTCTGCCACTGCGTTAAATCCGAGATACATGGGCGTGATTAAAGTTTTGCCCTTTTTTAGCATAGCCGAAGTAATGGCTATCCCCTTCTTTCGAACCGAGTAGGAACCGTGAGAACAAGAATTTGTGTGAGGATGTCCCACGCGGTTTGCCGTTTTCGAACCGCCATCCCCTTCTTTCGAACCGAGTTCGAACCATCAGGACAGCAGATGTTGTGAGGATGTCCCGCGCGGTTTGCCGTTTTCGAACCGCCATCCTTTTGTTTCGAACTGGGTCCAACGCCGTATTTTGAGGGAAGCCCCACGCGAAACGCTCATTCTGCTTTTGTTTCGAACCGCATTCTATTGTTTCGAACCGAGTTCGAACCGTCTTGAGAGCCAATTTTGTGAGGATGTCCCACGCGGTTTGCCGTTTTCGAACCGCCATCCCGTTTGGCGTAATAAAATTTTAATTTAAGGAACCAAATCCAGGTTCGAACCGCGCCCCGACAGCCCAGGTTCGAACTCCGCCCCGAAAGCGAGGCACCTCCCCGTAACATTGTACCAGGCTCCACGTCCCTAACGGGGTGACTAGCGACGTGCGCTCACATTGCGGACGCAGGGTGCACTTTTGCCGACCCGTCAAAATGGGGCAACCTGTCATCACGGCACAGACGTGCGCTCGCATTGCGGACGCAGGATGCACTTCTGCCGACCCGTCAAAATGGGGCAACCTGTCATCACGGCGAAGACGTGCGCTCGCATTGCGGACGCAGGATGCACTTCTGCCGACCCGTCAAACTGGGGCAATCTTTCATCACGGCACTAGGGAAGGAGTGGGATGGCCACGAGCAAAAAGGAGTCGGGTCCAGATGTGCGGCTCGCGCAGGGGCGAGAGCGCCCTTGCGAACGACGGAAGCAAAGGCACCGATCTTGAAACGTTGACAACTCTGCAGCGGGAGTGTCTTTTCGAAGGACCGAAGGCGTTTCGAATGCGAAAAACACGTTGCAAAACAGCCGTGGTGAACTAGTGTGTGGAAAACATCAGATTTGGGAGCAGGGGAACGTTTTCGAGATGTCGTCAGTGGAGGTGAAAAGAGAGGAGTGTGAGAGAGAGAGAGAGTGATAGAGGGCGAGACAGAGAGATAGAGAGACAGAGGCACAGGGAGACAGAGACACAGAGAGAAAGAGCGGGAGGGGGGGAGGGAGGGAGAGTGGCATATGTAGAGATGAGAATTTCGTAATGACACAGACATGGCATGACCCAGCTAAACGTTGCTATCTACAGCTCGCCGGATGCTTAAGAAACCTCACCCGAAAAGTTGGGCTACCGTTTCTCAACCAGCTTGCCGGAAAGTTGGCCCAGTTTCTTAAGTCTTCTGGCGTTGGAAGCGGCGCCAGACCCGCAGCCAGCAGAGGGGGAGAGGGAAGAAAGAGGAAGAGAGGGAGAAGGATGGATGAGGGACGAACGATGACGACGACGAGGGCGAAGATAAGGAGAAGAGGAGGATAGCACGTACGAACGGACGGGGAGAAACGAGGAGAGGAGGGAGGAATCTTGACGAAACGACTCACGATATACGCTCCGCTTCTGGTCGGTTCTGGTTCAGTCTCGAAATTTACAAACAGTTTTCGAGCTCCGACAAAATATTTGCGGCAGCGGCCGTGCGTTAGTGTGTTGCTAGCGGCGGTGGCGAGCGGTACCGGCGAAACCGATCAACCGGAAAAGAAATAGATTCGAGAGGGAGGAGGAGGAGAGGGACGAGCTGGGACGAGGAGCACGAGGAGGAGGAGGAGGTCGAGGACTCGCAGACTCGGGTGTTCACGTTTGTCTTTTTTGGCCTCCACCTCTCGTCCCCTCGTCCGTTTCGTTCGCGCCTCCAGCGTAAACATCGAATGCGTGAAAACAGAAAAGGATATCCCGTTTTGCATGGCTGCCAATATTGAGTTCTTGAGGAAAGGACGAAGCAGGCAGCGGCGGAGGAGCAGGAGGGAAGGATGATCGGCAGCAGCCGGAGCAGATCTTCTTTTGTCCTTCCCTCTTGCTTGCTTTCTCTACTATGCTCCTCCCCCTCTCCTGGTTTTGCCAGCAGTTCTCCGCCGTCCCCAGCATCTGTATCAGCATCGATATTTTGGCAGCCAGATTTTACATCCCGAGCTGCGGCCTCCCACGGGTAGCGGAATCACTCAGGCGAGTCTGCGCAGCTTGCGCAAGCTGTAGCTGCGCTGGGTGCGCCGCGTTCAGCCAAAACCAACCGTTTTACAATACAGACTTGCATGCAGCAGAAGAGTTTACATTGAAAGCCAGAACGGAGAAGGGAGGCACGGCAAACAGATGTCGTTGCAGAGCAGCCGAAGAATATTACAAAGTTTGTTTCGTTATTACACGATTCGCCGACGTTGCGTCGTTGTGCGGTTGTTTCTGCGTGTCGTGGTTTTGTTAAAGCAGCCTTTCTTGGGATCCCAGCTTGCCCAGCTGCTCGCTGCAAAGCTGATGCAATTCGGTATCATTGCCTTGCGGGTTTGCGTTTGCATCATGTCCGAGATATTTCATTATATGTTGCGTCGCAGCGCGATTTTATCGGAGCCGTCATATCCTGGAAGTGTTGCCAAGTAGATTCGCAGCGCTGCTTCTTCGCAGCAAAATGTTGTCTAATAATTAGGGTTCCGGTTTCTATGTTTCTTGTCCGATAGTTATGCTTGCATTTGGTCACACCGCATTTCGAGTGCAGAAGAATTTGGATGTCTGTCCATGTGTTGATGTGATAATTTGATGTTGCACACATTTCCAACCGCGTTAGGCATGATGTTCACCATGTTCGATGCGGGTGCGAGTTTCGATGTTCATTTATTTGTTCACATGAGACATTGTTGATGTCAGATCAGATAGAACCAACTTGTGATGTTGGGTTTGTCATGTTGAAGTGCGACGGCGCCGATTTTACACGATGTACGATGTATAAGAAACTTCTGATTGCTGGTCATACGTTCGCGGTTTCGTTTTTTGGGGGATATGGGTTTCCACCTCAGTTGGCAAAGTGCACTGTAGATGTTAAGTACGGACCATATGTTAGATTGCATTCGAGATAGTAATTCTGAGATATCATATATGATGTGCTTTGAGGTGTTGCATGAAGTTCAATTGTTAGATTTCGTTTTGGCTGTCAGATTTCAGTGTTGACGGGCTGCACTTCAAATGTGCCATTTTTCGTTGTTGGTAATATACTCTCAGATGTTAATTTTTTGATACCAGATGTAGACGGACATCCGATGTCCGATATTTACCGTGTAAACAGAATCCACATATAAATTGGTTTCAACTTGCAGGTGATAACGTATTTTCGATGTTAGATTTCATTGTCGGTGATAGTTCGCAGATTTCAGATGCTTAATCATCTGATGTTGTTTCTGTTTCACGTAAGTTTAGTTGCGTCGCAGGTGTTACATTTAAGGTGGTATTTTAGATTATGAACCATCGTGCTACATGTTAGCCATATGTCCATTGACAGATTCCAGTCAAGACGCACTTAATTACAAATGCTTTCTGTTCTGTGCGAATGATAAGCTTCGCTGCAGATGAATTTCGTACCTTCCACATGATGATATACTCCAATGTTTGGATATTAGTTGATCGATGTCAACACGGTTCAGGCACTAACGCATTTCAGTTTTCAAATGCGAGTGGATTTCAGAGGTTAAATGTCACTGCAGATGTTATTTTGCACATTTCAAATGCTATGTTATATCAGATGTGGTTGGTTTCCGGTAGTTTCAGTCTCACTTCAGATGTCAAAGTTAGTTTGGCATGATAAAGCATGTGCCATTTTATCAAAGTCTATTCATCTGCCAACCTTCAAATTTCATTTGGGACGGACTCTCCTCCAAATGGTTCAAATCCATCCCGAATGGTATATTTCGCTGCAGGTGTTGAATTCCAGAGTTCGTGCGCTACCGGATCCCACTTGTTCATATTATATGTGACAGATGCCAACAGATGCCAGGTAGTGACGGATTTCAGGTTTCAGATGCTACAGGGTTTCAGATGTTAGATTTGGTTGCAGGGTGCGAAGTCGCAGATGTAAGATGATGAAGAATGTCAGGTGGATACTTCAGGCTTCAGTTAA